TTGTCTTCTTGAGGTCTAGAAGAACTCTTCATCTCTTGATTCGACCATGGCTTCTTGGAGATGCTGTTTGACCGATATCCATAGCCTTAAAGTACTCATCCACAGACATGGACCCTTGCTTCAATGTTTGAAGGCATTGTTGTAGCTCCCTTTGAAAGTGTGATGTTATGAATCTCTTTCTCATCACCCTCTTCATCTCAGCCCAAGTAGCAATTGGTGCTTGTCCTTCTTGCAATCTGTCCCTAGTAAGCTTTTTCCACCAAATAGCAGCATAGTCAGAAAACTCAACAATAGCAAGTTTAACCTTCTTACCCTCAGAGTAGTTGTGACAGTCAAATATGGCTTCAACCTTTCTCTCCCAATCAAGGTACAAGTCTGGATCCCTTGTTCCCTTGAAAGATGGCATCTTCATCTTTATACTACTTATATTATCATCTTCTACTCTACCTCTTTGTCCCCTCCTATCTCTTCCCACCCTATCAAAATCGATATCATTAAAATCATCTATTGGGTTTTCTTGATTTACAATGGGAGCAAGGGGTACATTTCTCCTAGCTTGGGGCCTAACATTATTTTCCCTTCTAAGTTCAGCTATTGTATCATTTTGCTCAGCAATGGTGTCCCTCATCTCTTGGAGTTGCAAATTCCACCTTTCGAATTGTTGATGCATAGCTTGCAAGGTAAAATCATTTCTTGCTTTGATTTCGGCTTCTTGGAGAACCCTTCGTTCATCATCACTACCTGTATGTGACATCTTAAAAAACTATATCAGAAACTTGATTTTTTCCTCAATTGTTCTCACACACACTTTGCCTTTTTTTTTCTCTCTCGAAATAACCTTTGAACGAAATACTTTGTAGATTTATAGTTAAACCCAACTCGTATAAAGTTCTTAGTAGTAAAATATAGATTTTTGGGGAACAAATGAAAGAAGAACCAAATCCTAGAGCTATTAGGCTCGGTTGAAACAAGAAACGAACAAAAAGGAAATGATTATATATTTAGATTAGAAAGAGTAAGAAAAATTGAATTTTTGTCTTATCTTTGAAATTTGGGATCCCCTCTCCTTGTTTTCTTTAATAGTTTTTGGAAACAAATTAGATACAAAAGAAAGTTCCTAGAGAGCAAGCAATTTTTTTAAAAAAAATTGATTTTCGTTTTTTTTTTCCGCTCTTAGTATTCAAGAAATCCCCAGAATTATCAAGAACGAAACCTTGATAGAACCGCTCTGATACCACTTGATAACGACAAGGTCGGGAATCCAAACTAGAGTAAGAATTTGAAAAGTAAATGCGGAAGCAATAACAATAAGGAATTGAACAACTAGCACTTAAGGGCAGAAAATAAAGGATATGGAAAAATTCGAGGAAAGAATTCCAAGAACGCAAGTTCTATAGCCTTGACAAGATCAAAGCAACAACGTCTTGATTTATTGAAGAAATCAAACGCCTTTACTTAAAAGCAAATCAAAACAATAGATTCGGATCTTGACCACTTTACGAGTAACTTGAGACAACAATTAATAACTAGTATTAATCGCCTTCTAAGAATACCACAAAGAAATCAAAGATATCACAATAGAGAAGTAATCTTACTACCTTGAACTATGAACTAGTAAAGGTTGAAAGATAAATCTCAAAGCACAAGTAACAAAGGTTCAAAAGAACTCTCAAAGTATAATATACTTAATCAATAATGAAGTGTCTCAATGAATGAGAAGAACTCCTTATTTATAGGAGTACTAAGGCACAAAAAGTCTTTAAAATTAGGTAGGGTGGTTGCTAAGGCATAAAAAGTCATTACAATTAGGTAGGGTGATTGCTAAGGAGTAAGAAAAGTCATTACAATTAGGTGGGGGGCAGCCAAATCCCTTTGGGGCAGATTTGGACCTTAAAACTACTAGTTTGGGCCATTGATTTGGACTCTAATTGGGCTCCCTTTGAAATACCCACTTTTGGATCTCTTTTAAGCTCATTTTGAGCCCCTTTGGTGGACTTCAAGGGCTGATTTGGTGGCCNTTTGGACCTCTTTTAAGCTCATTTTGAGCCCCTTTGGTGGACTTCAAGGGCTGATTTGGTGGCCCAATCTTCCTCCTCTTGGACTTCAATTTGGATCACCAAATAATTGTAAAACTTGGATAATTCATCTACTTTGGGCTTGAGCTCTTCCTCTATAATTAAAAGCTTCTTTATTTGCCATTGAAGTCCAACAATCTTAGAGTGCAACTCTTTAGCTTGAGATCTTGTAAATGGCCTTGGTGCTTCCAAAACTCTATCCTTGTCCTTGATACTATCAAAATCCTTTGTCCGTCCCGGGTCGATGCGAGCACGTGTCGATGTATATGGCTCTATAACGGAGGGTCATCTTGAGGCCGTTAGAAAAAATTGCAACTGGGTTTCCGAGGTTGTGTTGCAAATTCCATCCCCCGAAGAGAGTGTCGTCACCCATGTGGAGGGGTTTTTAAGTGTTTACACTTATACCTTCACATTGGGTCCGGTCGACCCGGTGATCATCGATTTTTGCAAGATATATCAGGTCACCCTTGGTCAGATTCATCCCTCTCTGTGGCGTATAGTAATCCTACTTTGCTTCTTCTCCACCAAAGCCGGGGGGCTGGATTTTTCCCTGAATCACCTTATACGGTTGTATCGGCCTCAAATCTTTTGAGGATTAATCAAACTTCATCGTCGGTTATCGAAGGCTTTGATGTCGAGCATCGACGAAGACAAGGATCGGGGTTGGATGGGGCGTTATATTCGGGTGAGGACTCGTGACCTTATTTCGGAAGAGAAGATGTCATTCCCTGAGGAATGGAATTTTGACCGTAAGTTGTTCTCATAATTTTATTTTTTTTATGTTTCTTCCCGATATTCAGCTGCCCCTTGGATGCCACAAGCGGTGCCCGACCTTGAGGATTGGGTTCGGAAGTTGGCCTCGACTTCCTCTTATACCGAACGCGCTTGGAGTGATTTAGCTAAAGGCAGATGGGAAGCCAAAAACCATGGTAAGGTTTTATTTCTAGTTTCCTTTGAAGCGCTCTTTATGCTCCATTCGTTACCGATTTCCTTTCATGCAGGTGTAACCAAGGATGCCGTTTTGAGGCCTTCGAGCGGTGAAAAAGGAACCAAGTCCCCTGTCCCGAAACCGGGGAAAGACAAGAAGCGTAAAGCTGTCTCTCGATCAGAGGGCCCCAAGCCCGAAACTCGAAGGGTGAGGAGGAAGGCAATTGCCCTTTAGATTGACTCGGTCTAACAACTGAGAGAAGAAGAAGAAGACGAAGAAGAAGAAGAAGAGGAAGAAGGAGGTGCCTCGGCCTTGGTGTCCCGATCTGCCAGAGCTATCAAGGTCACCGAAGCTCCTGAGCCGATGGCAGCTATACCAGTCGGGGTTGACTCCCAGATCCCGAGTCTTGATCGGAATGCCCCGAGTGATTCACTCGGGACTATGATAGTGGGTTATTCGCCTTATCTTCCCACCTTTTCTGAGGAGGCGTTAAAGGAAGCTCGAGAATTGAAGACCCCCGATATGGGCGGAGTCTCTAGTGCAGGGGATCCCTTTCGGGATTGCTTTACCGGAGTCGATGATGCTTCCGATATCGGGGACGCTTCTCTTCTACTGGAAGAGGCCCAACGTTTCATTACTCGGGTAATGATTTTACTATACTTGGTTTCTTTGTTCTTTTCCGAATTTGACCCGTGTTCTTTCCCTACTGTGCAGGCCATTAGTAGATTTCTGGTCGACCTTAGCAAGTGTGAGGTCGAGCTTCAGAATATCTAGGGGGAGAGAGATGCCTTGCGGCTTCTTTGTAGCCAAAAGGACAAGGCTATAAAGGACCTTCAAGCGGATTTGTCTAAGGCTCGTGAAGAAGAGGTCGAGCTTGATAAGCAGGTGAGCCTCGTTCTGTTAAAATATGGGTTTGACTCGACTGTGAAAGTTAACCCTTCGTTGTCTTAGCTGCAGCAAAAGGTTGAAATGATCGGGTCACTTCGGGAAGAAGTCGATCAAATCAAAGCTGAATGTAATCGGTGGAAGGAGACTATCGATCGCCTGGCTGCGGAAAAAGAGACCATTTTGACCAACTTATTATCGGCCGATATCCAGCTTCGAAACATTAAGCAAAAGAGTTCGGCTCAAGTTAAGAGGGTCAAGGAACTTGAAGCCCAGCTTGCTGAGGCCAAGGCCGAGGTTGAATTGTCAAAAATCTTGGCGGATAAGTCCATTACCGTGTATGGGCTGATGCCGAGGCTGCTCAGATGGAGGCACGAGAGGCGGCGGATACTGCCGACACCCGAGCACATTGGATTGCCGAACATGCCAAATATAGGTCTCGGAGGGAGACCCTCGAGGAGATACATGTTTGGGGTTTCGACCTTACTGAAGAAATCAAAAAGGCTAAAGAGCTCGAAGCTAAAGCTAAAGCCTTGGCTTCTGATGGCGATGATGATGATGATGACGATGACGGTAGCAAGAGCGGATCCGAGGGTGATCAGGAAGCTTAGTTCATAGTCATGTTTGTAATCATGTAGAATGTTTTTGTATATAGACAACTTTGGCCGATTTGTGAAGACTTTATGCGTGCCTTTACAAATGTTTTCACAAGGATCTTAACAATTCAATCAAATTTGGACTTTGTAGTCTCTATTATTGATTTGTTCGAAGTGACATAGCCCTTGGGCTTACTAGTTGAGTTAGTTTGAAGAAATATAATCCATAGGCGTAATAGTCGAGTGAGTGCTTTGCTTGAACTAGAAGTGAAAGTAGCCCGTAGTCTTTAATCGTCGAGTGAATGGTTCGAACTCGAAGTAATGTAGCCGTAGGAATAACGGCCGAAGTAGCCCGTAGGCTTAGCAGTCGAGTGAATGATTCAAACTCGATGCAATGTAGCCTGTAGGCGCAATGGTCGAAGTAGCCCGTAGGCTTAGTGGTCGAGTGAGTGCTTGCTCAAACTCGAAATAAAAAGTAGCCCGTAGGCTTATAAGTCGAGTGAATGATTCGAACTTGATGCAATGTAGCCCGTAGGCGTAATGGTCGAAGTAGCCCGTAGGCTTAGTGGTCGAGTGAGTGCTTGCTCAAACTCGAAATAAAAATTAGCCCGTAGGCTTATAAGTCGAGTGAATGATTCGAACTCGATGCAATGTAGCCCCTAGGCGTAATGGTCAAAGTAGCCCGTAGGCTTAATGGTCGAGTGAGTGCTTGCTCGAACTCGAAATAAGAAGTAGCTCGTAGGCTTATAAGTCGAGTGAATGATTCGAACTCGATGCAATGTAGCCCGTAGTCGTAATGGTCGAAGTAGCCCGTAGGCTTAGTGGTCGAGTGAGTGCTTTCTCGAACTCGAAATAAAAAGTAGCCCGTAGGCTTATAAGTCGAATGAATGATTCGAACTCGATGCAATGTAGCCCGTAGGCGTAATTGGTCGAATTTAATTTGATTATGTTTGCCTAATAAATCTCCAAATAGAGGAATTTTCCTTGGATATAAGATGCCGATAAAGAAGAGAATTTTCTTCGCACGTTATTACACATGTGTTCATGTTTCGCGCCTGGGTTCGGGCCAATCTACATGAGCGTGGTTCGTTTCGACCATTTGGCTCTTACAATTTTTCCTATAGGAACCCTGTTGTTGTGAAATAACTCTCTTGCATCTGAACTCGATGTATTTGAGGGCCTAATGCCCCCTCGGTATTCGAGGTCGATTGTAAAGAGGCCTCGGATATTGTTGTAAGTGCAGCATGATCAATGGTTACCTCATTAAAAACTTTGCCAAAAAACCAATTTGGGATAAAACTGGTCTAAGGGAAAAGAGTGCAACGCGTGCTTTCAAGCAAAAGATCCATCTTAGCCCTCGTTCGGATTTCTGCAGGGGTCAGTTTTGAAATGTAAATGAATATGGAAAGGTTGTACCTTAGCAGTAGTACCATTTTAGATGTGATACATTCCAGCTGCTTGATAGTTATTTGCCGTTTATAATGCCGAGCCTGTACGATCCCTTTCCGATGTTCTCGAGCACCTAATATGGTCCTTCCCAATTCGGTCCTAGTTTTCCTTCGTTCGGATTTCGGGTATTGATGGTAAATTTTCTTAACACTAAGTCCTCGAGCTTGAAATGGCGGAGCTTGGTTCTTCGATTATAATATCTTTTGATTCGCTGCTTTTGGGCGGCCAATTAGATGAGAGCAGTTTCTCATCTTTCGTTCGATAGTTCGAGGCTGGTATTCATAACCTCGTTATTTGATTCTTCCATCGCGAATCAAAATCTGGCACTGGGTTCACCAACTTCGACTGGTATCAATGCTTCGGACCCATATACTAAGGAGAATGGGGTCGCCCCCGTACTGGATTTTGACGTCGTCTGATATGCCTAAAGGACTTCGGGCAGGATTTCTCTCCATTTTCCTTTAGCGTCGTTCAACCTCTTCTTTAGGTTTTGAATGACAGTTTTGTTCGTTGATTCGGCATGTCCATTCCCACTGGGTGGTATGGCGTCGATAGTATCCTTCTTATTTTGTGATCTTCTAGGAATCTTGTTACTTTGCTGCCAACGAATTATTTTCCATTGTCACATACTATTTCGGCGGGTATCCCGAATCGGAATATGATATGATCCCAAATAAAGTCTATAACTTCTTTCTCTCTTATTTTCTCGAACGCCTGTGCTTCAACCCATTTTAAAAAATAGTCAGTCATAAATAAAATGAATTTGGCTTTACCTGGGGTCGATGGCAGAGGGCCGACGATATCCATTCCCCATTTCATGAACGACCATGGGGATAGGACTGAGTGGAGTTGCTCTCCGGGTTGATGGATCATTGGTGCAAACCTTTGACATTTGTCACACTTACGAACAGATTCCTTCGCATCTTTGCCCATATTGATCCAATAATACCCCGCTCTGATTATTTTTTAAACTAATGTATCGGCACCGGAGTGATTCCCGCAAGTGCCCTCGTGCACTTCTCGTAGGATGTAATCGGTATCTCCCGGACCCAATCATACTGCCAACGGTCCATCAAATGTTCTTCGGTATAGCGTTCCGTCCGAAGCCAACGTGAATCGGGCAGCTTTAGTTCGTAGGGTCCTAGAATCTTTACGGTCCGATGGGAGCTTTCCGCTTTTTAAGTAATCAATATACTTGTTTCTCCAATCCCAGGTTAAGCTTGTAGAATTTATCTCGGCGTGACCTTCTTCAATTACCGATCTCGAAAGTTGAACAACATTCCCCGAGCCCAAGTCATCTACCTCGACCGACGATACCAAATTCACAAGCGCATCGGCCTCATTATTCTGTTCTCATGGAACATGCCGTAAAGTCCATCGTTTGAAATGGTTCAAGGTGACAAGCAGTTTATCTAAATACCTTTGCATTCTACCTTCTCGTACTTCGAAGGTTTTGTTTACTTGACTCACCACCAGCAAAGAGTCACAATTGGCTTCAATGACTTCTGCTCCCAAGTTTCTAGCTAGCTCGAGACCTGCAATCATGGCTTCATACTCGGCCTCGTTGTTAGTCAACCTGATAGTTTTAATAGATTGCCTAATAGTGTTACCCATGGGTGGTTTCAAAACTATGCCTAGCCCGGACCCCTTCACGTTCGAAGCCCCATCCATAAAAAGGATCCATACCCCCGATGATGTACCCAATTTCAACAAGAGTTCTTTTTCGACTTCGGGTACGAGGGTTGGCGTGAAATCGTCCACAAAGTCTGCTAAAATTTGAGACTTGATGGCCGTACGGGGTTGATATTCGATATCGTACCCACTGAGTTCGACAGCCCATTTGGCTAATCGACCTGATAGTTCGAGCTTGTGCAAAATATTACGAAGTGGGTAGGTGGCTAATACGCATATGGGGTGACATTAAAAGTACGGTCTTAACTTTCTAGAGGCGTTTATCAGTGCAAGTGCCAATTTTTCTAGGTGCGGATACCGAGTTTCCGCCTCTCCTAAGGTTCGACTTATATAATAAACGGGGAATTGCGTACCTTGCTCTTCTCGAACTAGGACACCGCTTACGGCGATTTTCGATACTGCCAAGTACAAACAAAGCTTTTCGTCTGTTTTTGGAGTGTGAAGTAGTGGTGGGCTTGATAGATATAGTTTTAGTTCCTCTAATGCTTGTTGGCACTCTGGAGTCCAAGCAAAATCGTTCTTCTTTTTTAGTAGAGAGAAAAATTTATGACTTCGATCAGATGATCTTGAAATGAACCGGCCTAAGGCTGCAATCCGACCCGTTAGCCTTTGTACGGCTTTCACGCTGTCCACAACGACGATGTCTTCTATGGCTTTGATTTTATTGGGATTAATCTCTATTCCCCGATGTGACACCATGAAGCCGAAGAACTTGCCCGAACCGGCCCCGAAAGCACATTTTTCGGGGTTGAGCTTCATATTGTATTTCCTCAAAATATCGAACGTTTCCTGCAAATGGGTCAAATGGTCCTCTGCGCGCAAGGATTTAACTAACATATCATCAATATAAACTTCCATTGATTTTCCTATTTGTTCTTCGAACATTTTATTTACTAGGCGTTGGTAAGTAGCCCCTGCATTCTTTAGCCCGAAGGGCATCACATTATAACAATACGTTCCATATTTGGTGACAAATGAAGTCTTTTCCTAGTCCTCTAGGTTCATCTGGATTTGATTATACCCCGAATAGGCATCGAGAAAAGTGAGGATCTCGTGGCCGGTCGTGGCATCGATCATGCAATCAATGTTGGGCAGCAGAAAGGAATCTTTGGGGCATGCTTTGTACAAATCCTTATAGTCCACACACATTCTAAGTTTGTTCCCTTTTTTAGGCACTACAACTACGTTGGCTAACCATTCGGGATATTTCACCTCCCGAATGGACCCTATTTGAGAAGCTTGGTTACCTCCTCCTTTATGAATGCATGCTTTCCCTTGGACTGGGGTCTTCTCTTTTGCTTCGCCGGTCTGAACCTAGGGTCCAAACTTAGCTGATGCGTCGTTATGTCCGGCGGGATCCCTGTTATATCTAAATGGGACCAGGCAAAACAATCGATGTTATCGATAAGAAATTGAACGAGTTTCTTCCTGAGTTCGGGGCTCAACCCCGTTCCTAAGTATACCTTTCGCTCGGGCCAGTACTCGATTAATGTGACTTGCTCTAGTTCCTTGATTGTTGATTTGGTGGCGTCGGAGTCATCGGGAATCATGAAAGATCGAGGGACCCTTTGATCATCATCATCTTCGATGTCGGAAATTTGAGGGGCTGGTGTAGGGTCGAAGGTACAGCTCTCATGTTGTAGATCCATGGCCTTCCGAGGAGGGCGTTGTATCTCATATCGCCTTCGATCACGTGAAA